GTAAGGAGAAGCTTTAGCTCCAGTGGAATAAGAGGCAGAGCTGAAGCCCAAAGTCGAGGAGCCTTTACCCAGCCCCTAGAGCCAGCAATCTGAATTTGGACTTCTAGCCTTCTACACTGTAAGAGACTAGATTCCTGTTTGTTAAAGCCACCAACTTGTGCTATTTCTGTTATCCCAGCATTAGAGAGCTGTGATAATTAAGTTTGTGTGTCAACTTGGCTAGACCTGGCTGAGTGGCTAGGTAACTGGATGTAGTTACTCCCCAAGGTGAAATTGGTAATTAATTCCACGGTGGAATCTATTGGAGCAGCTTAGTAGCTGCTTTAGGAATGTCGTCTGCTTCCCATATATAACAGCTTTAGGAATGGTCTCTATGGTTGTTTTTTTGTTTTTTTTACCCAGTCTCCTCCCCTCCCTACCCTGCAACCCTCCCCCTGTGCGCCTCATAATTATGCACTCCTGTTTGTCCTGCATTTCCTCAGTTTGAATGTTGGTCCTTTGGTGTCCCATGTTCTATTGTTCTAAGGGATGTATTACCATTGAGTGTGTGGGTGGAGCATGCTGGGTTGAGTGGTCTGCGTGTACATCTTGTTAACTATTGGGCTGAGACCCCACCCCTGGGGGTGAGTTTTATTCCAGGCACTGAATGTATTTCAGGGCCATAGTATTAGGAGTCTCACCAGATTTCATCTGACCAGTAATTCTGGTCATTATTGAGTTTTTGGATTTTGTTCCATGTTTCCCCTCCCACTCTATCCAGGATCTCCAGATTTGATCCTTTCCTGAGTGGTTAGCATTGGTAGCCGGGCACCACCTGGTTCTTCTGGTCTCGCGGGCCATTGTGTCCTAGGGTTGATTGCTTCTAAATGCCCTTTGTGTGTGTGTGTGTGTGTGTGCGTGCATGTTCTTCTTCACTTCCGATGCTAGGAGACCACTAACTGCATCTTAGATGGCTGCTTGAAAGCTTTTAAGACCCCAGTCACTACTCACCAATGTAGGATATGGAGCAAGGCTTTTATGTATTTTGTTGTGCCAATTGAGTCTGTTGTCCCCCAGTACTATGGTCCTGAGACAGTAGATCTATTGGATCTCTCTCCCATAGTGTCTGGTGGTCTGTGAGGGATTACTCTGTGTCTGTCTTCTATTGTTCCTGTAAGAATAGCAGGTATGTTGTATCACTGGTGTCTGTACAATATTAGCCTCAGCTGAGTCTATCCTTGGTCTCCAGTATACCTCTATTCACTGACCCCTGTCTGATCATCTCAGATGTTTATGTGTTTATCTGTATAGCCTAGTGTTTGGTGTTAATGGCAATGTGGTATTATGGACACATTGGTTGGTTTTAGCATTTGTCATCTATCTCTTATGTGCACAGTTTGGTGTCCTTTCATTTCCCAATGTTATCATGGTTGGTCATATATCCATCCCATACATCCCTACCCCTACCCATGTCAGCATGTAAACCCCAACTAGCCCTAAGTTAATCCCTAGCTTATGACACACTTGAAATCTGCATGTAGCCATGTTGTTGTTCAGCAGCCTGCCGTGCTCTGCCAACCATGAGACTCAATGAACATGAATCAATGGACTACCATGTTATTTGGTAACGTGGGGACTGTCCCTTTTCACTTGTTGACCTTGGATTTGTCCATCTCAGCAGCCAGCAGCTGTCTGAGTACAGAAAACCCTCCAGCTTCAGTGGGCCAGGAGCAGGAGGCAGAACCAGAGGCAGGAAGCCCAAGGTTGAGAGGCTTTCACACAGCCCCTAGAGCCTGGCACTTTGAACTCAGACTTTAAACCTCCAGACTGTAAGAAAATAAACTCCTGTGTGTTCAAGCCATTCTATCTGTGGTATATTCTTGTCAGAGTGGCACTGAACAAGAACCAAGACAATATGCTAGTTATTCCCTGGGTTTTCTCTTAGGTAAATTACCTATTTATATTCTTTGCTCATTTTTCCACTAGAGGTACAGTCTTTTCTTATTTAGTTTTAGAAGTTCCTTTTATATTTTAGATAACAGTCCAAAATATCTTTCAGAAATTTTTAGACACTATAAATATCTTCTCCCGCTCTTCCATTTATCTGAAAACCTTATCCATGTAGTTCTTAGTAGAAAATGGTTTTTTTTTGTTGTTGTTTTTTGGGTTTTTTTTTTGCTGCTGAAGTTAGTATTCCTTTTTTGAAAGCTTGTTTCAGTTGAAAATATATATAGAAAAACATACACCAATTCAACCATTTCTACATGTACAACAGTGTCATTGATTACATTCTTCGAGTTGTACAATCCTTCTCACCTTCATTTTCCGTGTTATTTCTATCCCATTATCAAACTCACTGTCCCTAAGGTTCTGATCTAATCTTTTGAGTTTCTGTTGTCACTTTGATTCCATATAGATCTTAAAAGAGCATAATGTACAAAGCAGACAGCTTTTACTGTTTAGCTAAACTGTTGTTTGATTTTAAGATGATTCCAGGGGATATTTTTGGTTTGAAGTCTAAAAATTATCTCAGAGCAATAGTTTCAGGGGGTTATCCAGCTCCATAGCTCCAGAAAGTCTGGAATCCTTGAGAATTTGAATTTGTTTTGTAGTCCTGCCCCTTTGATCAGGATTATTTTATAGAAACTTTGAACAAAATAAATCCTTAACTTTAATGTTTTGACATTTTTGGCCTTGTGACTTGGCCATTTGACATTTTATTAAAAAGATCTTTGCTACCTCTGATTTGCAAACTCTTATATTTTCTCCTTGAAAGCAAGAATGGCCAGACTTCATCTCACCTACTTTGGTCATATAGTCAGAAGAAACCATTCCATAGAGAAGGATATCAAGCTTGGTAAAGTGAAGGGTCAATGAAAAAGGGGAAGGCCCTCAATCAGAACTCTTTTATAGAAACTTTGAACAAAATAAATCCTTAATTTTAATGTTCTGACATTTTTGGCCTTGTGACTTGGCCTCTTGAAATTTTATTAAAAAAATCTTTGCCACCTCTGATTTGCAAACTCCTATATTTTCTCCTTAAGGGAGCTCTGGTAGCATAGTGGCTAAGGCACTTGACTGCTAACCAGAAGGCTGGCGGTTCAAACCCAACAGCCACTCCCCAGAAGGAAGATGGGGCAATCTACTTCCGTAGTGATACTGCCTCGGAAACCCAAGGAGGGGTTGCTATGGGTCAAGTCTGACTCAACGGCACACAACAACAACAACAACAATATGTTCTACTTGGAAGTGAGAATGGCCAGACTTCATCTCACCTACTTTGGTCATGTTGTCAGAAGGAACCATTCCATGGAGAAGGATATCAAGATTGGTAAAGTGGAGGGTCAATGGAAAAGATGAAGGCCCTCAACAAGGCAGATTGACACAGTGCCTGCAACAATGGGCTCAGGTATGGCAAGGATTGTGAGACTGGCACAGGACCAGCCAGTGTTCGTTCTGTTGTACACAGGGTTTCTATGAGTCAGAGACGACTCAACAGCACCTAACAACAACTACGTATTTTCTTCTATTCAATTTATTAACTCTTATTATCTTTGGTGTTATCATTCATAAAAAAATATCATCTACTTTCTTATGTGGTGGTTGATAGGAATTTTGTAAAGTTCAGGAATCTCCAAGACCACTTTCCCTTCTGACCCCAACTGCAAGTTTGGGACTCTGATGGCACAACTGGTTAAATACTGGGCTGCTAACCAGAAGGTTGGCAACTCGAACCCACCTAGCAGCTCCACGTGAGAAAGACCTGCTGATATGCTTCCTTAAAGATTACAGCCAAGAAAATCCTATCAGGGCAGTTCTACTCTATCACATTCAAAAACAATTCAAAGACACAGAACAACAACAAGATCATCCTCAGCTTCAGTAGTTCATAGAATGACTCACAGGACACATTGAAAGCTGTTATACTCACTGTTATGGTTTACTACCGTGAAAGGATATATATTAAAATAAGCAGAGGGAAGAGGCATATAAGTCAAGGTCCAGAAGAGTTCTAATAGGGTGCTTCCAGTTGTCCTCTCCCAGTGGAGTCATGAGCAATGCTAGCTTGTCCGTGAACAATGTGTGACAATACACATGGAATACTGCCAACAAAGGAAGCTTACCCATGCCTTGGTGTCTGGAGTTTTATTGGGACTTGACCACGTAGACATGCCTGACCACCCATGTGGCTGACCTTAGTTCCCAACCCCTCCAGAGACTGAGCTAGTACTGTGTAGCCAAAGAACTTCACCATAAATCATATTTTTAGCATAGACTATCTGGTGTGCCATAAGAGTCCCAGATAAACAAAAACTCTCTTATGGAACAGGAGATTTCAAGTACTTAAAGTTTACCTCCTAGTAACTGAAGGCAAAGTTAATCCTTTATTTCACAGATAAAATTTTATTTTCTTTACAGAGTGAACCAGTTTTCCCAAAATTAGACTAATAGTATTTTTGCACTGATTTATGCTAAGATAAACCTTCATTATTGTGATTTTGATTAACTATTAAATAAAACTTACAACAACAACAAAATGAAACTCACTGCCTTAGAGTCAATTCTAACTCATAGCAATCCCTCCCTGGGTTTCCAAGATGGTAACTCCATGGAAGTAGATTGCCCAGTCTTCCTTCTGAAGAGTGCCTGGTGGTGGGTTGAATCTCCAGTCTTCTGGTTAGCAGTCAAATGTCTTAGGCACTATGCCACCAGCATTTAAGGAAATGTGAAGTGTAGCATCATATTCACCAGGGAAAGAACTATAAAATGTCATCTTCATTTTTCATATTTTAATTTCAGAACAAAATAAACAAACAAACAAACAAATCACAATATACAACATCCAACCCCATTCTCAAATACGGGAGGGGATGAGGCCTTACATCCTGCTTCATACAAACAGCAGGAGAGGGGGAAAAAAACACTATCAGCAGATGAAGACAGGTGGAAGAGGGCCACTCAAAGCTGTGGGAGCAATAGGGACACTATACAGAGGGGACAAGTTTCACAGGTAGACTATCCTAATCAACTTTTTCCATGAGACATGTATCCTCATCATTCTCAAGTGGGGGAATCTCATCAGGAACAGTAGCGCTAGGTTCCTCAGCTGTCTCTTCATCTTCATCAATGCCTGTTATGTTGTTACGTGCCGTCGAGTCGGCCCCGACTCATAGAGACCCCTCCTTGGGTTTCCGAGGCAGTATCAATACGGAAGTAGGATTGCCCAACCTTCCTTCCGAGGAGTGGCTGGTGGGTTTGAACCGCCAGCCTTCTGGTTAGCAGTCAAGTGCTTTAGCCACTATGCTACCATAACGTAAAAAATGCTGGATGAGATTTGGATCAAATAGCACTAAAAAGTCTATCCAGGAGGCTAGCTCCAACAACTCCTTGCCACACCAAGGTAACAAGACTACTCACCTAAGGCCAGCTTGATCATGGGGTAGTAGATGCAGTTGGATTCATGGAATCCTCAAGGGAGAAACCAGAAGAGAGCAGAAAAGTTTCAAGCAACAGCACCACCAAATCCTTGATGGCTTTGTCATTCTTATCTGCCTCAGCCTTCTTCCACAGCATCTTCACAATCAGGTGATCGGGGTTGATCTCCAGGTGCTTCTTGGCCATGATGTAGCCCCTTGTAGAGTTGTCCCGAAGTGCCTGGGCTTTCATGGTGCATTCCATGTTGGCCATCCAGCCATATGTGCTAGTCACAATGCAGCAGAGTAAAGACACAAGTCTATTGAAGATTGTCACCTGTGGACATGGTCACAAAAACCTTAGCCTTATAATCAACCTGATCACTGCTTTAAACCTAAGCAGTTTCATTTCTCAAAAGAAACTAAATCAATGCCTAATCTTTACTGTTATGTGAAATGTTATAGAAATAAATTTCAAATCTGACTGAGTAGGAGAACAAGAGATAAAGAGTTTAGTTAATTAAAACTGTATTTTATTTGGGATAGTTATGTCTATATTTATATATCTTGTCCTTATCTAATTGTGGAATTAAAATTTCAAAGTCAGATTTTGCTCTTTTTTTATTTATTGAAAACACATTGTATAAGAGAAATTAACTGTTCCTTTAATGAAATAGAACTCATCTGTAAAATCATATGGGCTCAAGGTACTCCTCACTATGATCTCAATTTTTCTTGCTTAAGTTTTCAAAGTTATTAGCATATAGTTGTTTATAATATTCTTTTTATATTTTTAAACTCTTAAAATCGAAACCAAACTATTGTCATAGAGTCAATACTAACTTATAGCGACCATAAAGGAAAGAGCGAACTGCCCAAAGTGTTTCCAAGATTGTTATCCTGACAGAAGCAAACTGATACATCTTTCTCCTGTGGAATGGCTGACAGTTTCCAACTGTCAGTCTTTCAGTTAGCAGCCGAGTGCTTAACCACTGTGCAAATGGCTCTTTTTAATCTCTGTTACAGTTTGTATATTCATTTCCCTTTTTGTTCTGTGCTTATTCGGATTTTTTTAAATCAGTCTTCTTCAAGGTATGACTACATTATTAATCTTTTTAAAGAATCAGCTTTTCATTTTAATAAACTTCACTGGAATTTTTCTTTTATATTTCATTGCTTCTGCTTCTATATTATTCCTTTTGGTGAGTTTCTTTGTGCTTGCTCTTCTGCTTTTTTCCAGGTTCTTTGAAGTGAATGATAATCTTGCCTGTTTTTAAGTCTATCTTATTTCTTATTGACTCTATTTAAAGCTATAAAATTATCTCAAAGCTGACACTTCTTTAGCTGTACCTCACAAAATGTCATATGTAGCTTTTTCATTCAGTTGTACATATTTCTTAATTTCTGCTATGGTTTCTTTTTTAATCTAAGAGTTATTTTATAAGATATTAGAGTCTCCAAACATATGGGTATCTTTTTAGTACTGTTTTTGTCTATAATTTAGAATTTGATTGCTTTGTGATCAGAGATTATAGTTGCTGTTATTCATTTGAGATTTTTTGAGCCTTTCTTTATGGGATATTGCAAGGTATAGTTCTGGAACCGTTCTGTGACAGCTCAAGAATATGTACTCTGTTTATTACTTGTACACTCTTTAATACATTCATCAATTGAATTGTTTTGGTATTTTATACATTTTCTTTTATTGACTGCTTAATATATTCACTCCTAAAAGGAATGTGTTAAAATGTCCAACTCTAATTATTGATTTATCTATTTCTCCCTAAAGTCTGTCACTTACTGCTTCAATACATTCTGAGACTGTATTTTGTGACATACATGTTAACCATAGCTCTATCTTCTTGCTGACTTTCCCTTTTACCTGTTCATAAAATATGTTAGGATTTTTGTTCTGTTTTGTTTTGTTTGGTCTTAAATTTCATTTTTCCAGTTATTACGCTAGTTATACCATCCTTATTTTGACTCATGGTTTGTTTGAGTGTCATTTTTGATCCTTTTATTCTCAACCTTTCTGGGTTGTTTTTGTTTTTGCTTTCTAATTTTTATTGTGATTCAGGTGAAAGTTTACAGAGCATCTGGGTTGATGTTTTAAGTGTGTTTGATATAAATCATATATTTCTGGCAGCTTGTTTTCTTAATCCAACCACAGATTCTCTGTTTTAAATTAATGAGTTTAAATCATTTTTATTTTAGTTATTTTTCTATTCAGTTGTATTTCAGCTATTTTGTTTCATGTTTTTCATTTAGTACATTTTCCTCTCTTCTGTGGTATCCATTAGACAGAATTATTTTTGTTCTGTTGGTTTAAAAGTTAAACATCTTATTTGTGTTCTTATGGGTATTGCTTTAATGCTAATGTTTATTTATCCCTATTGATTTCTTAAAGTTATCAACATTTATATCATTTCCTAACAATAAAAGTCTGTTAGCATGTTCTTATACTCCTTTTTTCCCTCCAAGCCCCATTGTTAGTATTGTCTATATTTTTAGTTCTATTCATTATATTTGTGCTTTCCCTTTTGTATTATTTTATACTAGAATTTACTTTAAAAAAAAAAAGTATGCTATTTGATTACATTTACATCCCATATCTCTTCTGATTTGAAGACTTTATACAACAAGACCTTGCTGCCTGAAAATATGTTATTATACTCTCATATTTAAATGACAACTTAACTGGATTAAAAAAATAAATAGCTCAAATTTATTTTTCTTAAGTACATTAAAAATACCACTTCATTATTTTCTTCTATAGGAGCTCTGATGGCACAATGCATAAGAGATTTGACTGCTAACCAGAAGGTTGGTGGTTCAGACCCACCAGCTGATCCATGGAAGGAAGATGAGGCAATCTACTTCTGTAAAGATTTACAGCATTGGAAATCCAAAAGGGGGCGGGGGGGGAGGGTCACTATGAATAAGAATCTACTCAATGGCAGCAGGTTTTATTTTCTTCTGTATAGTGTTGTTATGGAGCACTGTGTTGTGAATATGGTTTATTTCCCTTTGAGAGAAATCTGCTCTTTTCTGGAAGCTTTTAGAAAGCTCTCTTTGTCATCAATGTTCTTAAATATCATTATAAGATGTCTTGCTACAGATATTTCACATTCTTTCCTGATTGACCTTGTATGAGCCCTTTCAAGCTGAGATTTTTTTTCATCTTTGACAATGGGAAATTTATCTTTATTGTTTATTCAACTATTTAACCTCTCTAGTCTTGATTTCTTTGTTTTTTGCTTCCTTATTGATATAAGAAAATTTGTGATTCATATAGACTAGATGTTTGTACTCCTATCCTTCATATGTCCTAGCCTTTATTTTATTTTTTCCTCTTTATTCTATTTTGCTCCCTTCATGGAAAGTTGCTCAATTCATTCTTCTGCTATATCCTTGCTGATACTTATCCCAACTATTAACTACTTAATTTCTTTATCACACTCTTTATCCCAGATATCTCTCACTAGTTCTTATTTATATTTTATTCTTGCTTCATATTGCTAATTACTATATCGTGTAAATATTTGTTCCCAATAAAACTGCTTCAGATGATATATGTTTCTCAGTTTCACGTGTTTCATTTATAATATTTCTGTTTCTTGGAGTCTAGTTTCTTATGTTATATTTTGGGTTTTTTGTGTGCATCTGGGAGCAAGGCAGTATTAGCTACTCTACCTAGTATTGTATATTGGGGAAAAACTAAAGGCCAGGCACAGGCTGGAGCTACAGTGCGTTAAAATAAAGAGCAGAGGATGAGAGAAGAGAAGGTAGAGAACCCAGGCACCACAAAATTACTACTGACACTCCCTCCTGCTGCCATTCCACCAGGCCAATCCTCTGGTTTCACCCTTGAATACTTAAGAAGTACCATTAGCAGAAGCAGTCCTCTTACACTGCAATCCTATTATCCTTAGGCCTTTGGAGCAGGAAGAGTGAAGGCCCAAGGCAGTTGGTCACCCCATGGCTGTTTTCAGCAACACCTCCCTCCAGCAGAACTCTTTCACTCCTCTGTTTTACCCCTGGACAGTTGCTGACAATTTCTGCAGTAAAGAAGTAGACACTGATTTTCACAACGAAATGAGAGCAAGGGCATTGTATAACATAAAAACTTTCCTCTATCTTTTCATTAGATCTGGCAACCTGTCACCTGGGCTGCAGCCACCACATCCACCAGTCCAAGATAGCCCTAGATCCCATCCCACCCCTAGGAATTTCTCCACACTCCCTTTTCATTTTATGGTTTCTTTAGGGCTGATTTCTCCATCTTGATAGGAATTGAAAACAGTTATAATTATTTCAGGAAGTTTTGAGCCTCACACCAATGTAATTTTTGATCATCATCCAAAAATATAATTCCCTTTAGTTAGCTCCCTTCTTCCTTAGTTTTATTCCAATTTTTCTTTGGGATTCTTTCTTCTAAACCAGTCATACTACTCTCTTCTATCTAAAACCTATATATTGAGAACCTCCTCTCAGGATAAAAATATCTTTAAAACATCCTTAATCTCTTCCAACTCTTTGAGTTAACTAAAATCTGGTTGCTTCTGAAGTACACAGCCTCACCTCCAGCCCACTCAGAGGCCAATACATATCAAGATTAGGGATAGGGATCAATCATTTCCTTTTCCCCAATGCTGCTGCCCAAATCATTTCTCTACCTCCTCCAGATAAAAATGTCTGTCTCTGTAAGTAGCATGCCATGGGTCTTCCTTATCACTGTCACTTGCCAATCTCCATCTACTGCTCCATAATTCACCAAAGACATTGGCAAATCACTTAGTCTTTTTCTCTCCCTCCTTCAAGCATCTTAGGTATCCATGGGGATACCCCATTCAGCACACTGTCCTTTGAATACCTTCATCTTGTCTGTTCAAGTACCTTAATTCCATGCCACTTCTGCTACCATTCAAGTATTAAAAATAATAAAAATCATACTTAACATGAAGTAGTGTTCATGAACATTAGCTGTTAGAGAGATGCAAATCAAAACAACAATGAGATACCATCTTGCCCCAGCACTAGCAACAAAATTCAACAAGACAGAAAATAACAAATGCTGGTGAGGATGTGGAGAGATTGGGACTCTCATACACTGCTGGTGGGATTGTCAAATGATACAACCACTGTGGAAAGTAGTATGGCAATTCCTTAAAACCTTGGATTTAGAAATACCATTTGACCTAGCAATTCCATTACTAGGTATATATCCTAAGGAAATGAGGGCCAGGACAAGAACAGATACATGTGTACCCATGTTTATCACAGCACTATTTACAATAGCAAAAAGTTGGAAACAACCAAAGTGCCCATCAACAGAAGAATGGATAACCAAACTATGGTACATACACATGATGGAATACTGTACAACTCTAAAGAATAATGTAGAATCTGCAAAACACCACATAACATGGATGAACTTGGAGGACATTATGCTGAATGAAATAACTCAATCACAGAAGGGCAAATATCGTATTAGTCTGTTATGGTAAAAAGTCAAGGAAAGGTTTATATATGAAAGGAATTTTTCTTTGTTGGTTAACAAGGAGGAAACACTGCTAGATAGGTCATTCCCTTCACCCAAATCAATACTTGTCTCTGCTAGATAGGTAGAGACAAGTATTGATTTGGGTGAAGGGAATGACAATGTGAGTAGCATTGAGGAAGAAGATGATGTAGAGAGGTGCATGAGAGGTACAGACAACAAAGATGAACCCTTTGCCACATGCAGCACTGTGTTGTCAGTGATGGCAAACATTGGTCTATGGGTGGATAGATGGGTAGACAGGCTGAAATATGTCTATGCAGGGGGGAGTGTGTCCACGACCATGTATAGGTTTCACAGACAATGCTTCTACAAGTGTATTTGTATGTTCTGTAAGAATTCCTAAGTATATAGTTGTTGTTTTTGTTGTTATTTGCCATCGAGTCTGCCCCGACTCATAGCAACCCCTCCTTGGGTTTCTGAGGCAGTATCACTACGGAAGTAGGAATGCCCAACCTTCCTTCCGAGGAGTATATAGTAGAGTTCACAAAGGACAAGGTTGTAGTCACTTCTTGGCCACAGCCAGCTACCCAGTGGGAGCAAGTAGTTGGACCTTTGGGCTCAGGACCATGGTCACAGGGGACATCAAGCTCAATTGGCATAACATACTACACAAAAATATTGTTCCACATCCTACTTTGGCAAGTAGCAACTGGGATCTTAAAAGTTTGCAAGCAGCCATCAGATGCAACAATGGGTCTCTTCTTGTCCAGAGCAAAGAAGAATGAAGACAACCAAAGATACACAGAAAGAGTTAGTCCAAGTGACTGGTACACCATGTGATCCTCAGCCTATACAACTATGAGACCAAAAGAACTAGACATTGCCTGGTTACCACTGTCAACCACTCAGAGCGGGATCTATGTAGGAGATCCTGGATAGAGTGGGAGAACAATGTGAGACAAAATTCAAAATCATTTAAAATAAAAAAAAAAAAGGGACCAGATTTGCTAGTCTGATAGAACCTGGTGAAATCACTGAGACTATGGCCCCTAGCTGCCCTTCAGGTCTGAAATTGAACCACTCCTGTGACTGCAAGCCAAATAACAGATAGGCATGTGACCTGAACATTTACATTAGCTAGATATTCTCCTTGGAGAGATCAATCATGGGAGAATAGAAGGGCTGTGTGTGCACAGGGAGACAGCTTGGGGAGGGCAGGAAGAAGTGGGAGGGAAGGACACAGGAAAGGTGGCTGTGGGGAGAAAGTGGGAGGAGACCTCTTGTATCGTAGGAGATTGCAGTCAACATCACGACACAAAGTGTACGTGAACTACAGTATGGAAAGTGAATCTGCTCTGTAAACTTTCACCCAAATCACCATAAAATTTTTTTAAAAAAATAATATTAAAAATCATGTTTATTAATTGGGTGCTTACTATGTACCAATCAATATACTTAGCATTTATGTAAATTGCTTCATTTAACTCTAACAGTAATCCTATGGATTAAAACAAAAATCCATCACCTTCTAGTCAATTCAAACTCACAATGACCCTATAAGACAGAGTACAACTTCCCAACAGGGCTTCTAAGGCTATAGTCTTTACAGAAGCAGACTGCCATATCTTTCTCCTGAGGAGAGCCTGGTTGGGTTCCAACTGCCGAAATTTTGGTTAGCAAACAAACTCTTAACCATTGTGCCACCACAGTTATTTAATGCTATGAATTGTTGTTGCTGTTATGTGTAGTCAAGTTGACTACAATTCATAGCAAACCAATATACAACAAAAAGTAACACTGCTCAGTACTGTACCATCCTCCCAAAACTTGCTATTCTTGAGCCCACTGTTGCAGCCACTGTGTCGATCTATCGCCTTCAAGATCTTCCCATTTTTCACTGACCCTCTACTTTACCAAGCATGATATCTTTCTCCAGGGACTGGTCCCTTCTGACAATGTGACCAAAGTACATGAGATAAAATCTGGACATTCTCTCTTCTAAGGAGCATTTTGGCTGTACTCCTTCCAGGACAGATTTGTCCATTCTTCTGGCAGTCCATGGTATTTTCAGTATCTTTGTCAGCATCACAAATCAAAGGCTTGATCTCCTCTTCAGTCTTCCTTATTCATTGTGCAGCTTTCCACATGCATAGGAGGCAACTGAAAATATTATGGCTTAGGTCAGGCACACCTTAGTCTTCAAAATGCTATCTTTACTCCTTAACATTCCAAGGAAGTCTTTTGCAGCAGATTTGCCCAATGAAATATGATGTTTGATTTCTGTTGCTTCCATGGGTGTTGATTGTGGATCAAAGTAAAATGAAATCTCTAACAACTTCAATCTTTGCTTTATCATGATGTCGTTTATTGGTCCAGTGTGAGGATTCTTGTTTTCTTTATGTTGAGGTGTAATCTATACTGAAGACCATGATTTTTGATCATCATCAGTAAGTGGTTCAAGTCTTTTTCACTCAGCAAGCAAGGTTGTGTCATCTGCATATGACAGGTTGTTAATGAGTTTTCCTCCAATCCTTATGTCATATTTTTCTTCATATAGTCCTGCTTCTCAGATTATTTGCTCAGTATACAGATTGAATAAGTATAATGAAAGGATACAACCTGGATTTAAATCATGCAGTATCTCCTTGCTCTGTTTGAACAACAGCTTCCTGGTCTATGTACAGGTTCTTCATGACTACAATTAAGTGTTCTGGAATTCCCATTCTTTGCAATGTTGTCCACAATTTGTTATGATCCACACAGTCAATTGCCTTTGCATAGTCAATAAAACAAAGGTAAACATCTTTCTGATATTCTTTGCTTTCAGCTAAGATCCATCTGACATCAGCAATGATAGATAAAAATCTCATAAGTTTCAATTCTAGCAAATAATTCCACTTTTTATAACACTGTACAGTTTAGGTAAAACACATTCACTGGCCAGCTGTAGCGTATAGTCCATTTGTTAGAGACTCTAAGAAATGCTTTAGTGTTTCAGGTGTTGATGTGATCCTATCAAATTCAAAGGTAATTTAAGAGACTTAAACTTTACAAGCTCTCAAGGAAACAATTGACAGTGACAGTGACAGCTAATTAAATTCTGGGTTTCAAAAATCTGCTGAAAAATACTCTTGGTTAAATGGAAATGATAGATCTCTGGTGTGTTGCCAATGCAAGTTTATTGGACATAATCTTTATATGAAAAGATAAATGGAAAGAGTCAATTTACCTTTTTCCCTTTAATATTTATAGAGGGTGAGGCTACTATTCTTCCCTTTTCCTCCCTTTTTCCTGTTTTATCAAATCTGGAAATGTGTATTTTGTGACATTTTATGGTTTCCTAATAGTAAAAGTAGGAGCTCTGGTAGCATAGTGCCTAAGGCACTTGACTGCTAACCAGAAAGCTGGCGGTTCAAACCCACCAGCCACTCCTCGGAAGGAAGGTTGGGCAATCCTACTTCCATAGTGATACTGCCTCGGAAACCCAAGGAGGGGTCGCTATGAGTTGGGGGCGACTCGACGGCAAATACCAACAACAACAACAGTAGTAAAATACCAGAATGTCTGAAATTATCAGGTAATAATAAAAAGAAATCCTCATATTTAAG